TGGTGTCTTCTCCAGAACCCACCACTTTCACTAGCCATGTTTTAAGAGATCTCTTCCGTATATTATAATCCTCGAAGCATAAGAAGGGCGTTAGCCAACGACATTATCCAGGAAGTCCGTTCTGTCGAAATATCGGTGCTTAAGAATACGAGCTACCAACGAGTCCGGCTTATCCCAAATTCTCCAAGCTTGTTTGGCAAGCATGGATTGATTAAATTTCTCTAACTCCTTAAAACCTAACCCATCAACCTCCATGTCTTTGCATAATTTTTGCCATGCCACCCACAATATTTTCTTCCTATTGTTCACACTGCTCCACCAGAACTCAATCATCACACTAGCAAGCTTTGCACATATGTCTTTAGGGAGTTTAAAACATAGCATTGAATAGATAGGTATGGCCAGACCAATCGATTTGATGAGGATATCTTTGCCTCCCTGAGACAACGCTTTCGAGAACCAGCCATTTAAACGACCATGGAGCTTTTTCGCGAATGAAGCTAAGCAGTTTTCTTTTGGAACCACTGAAGCATTCAGGGAGTCCAAGATACGATCCTTCACCCCCCCCCCTCCACGTGAATTCCAGTAATGTTCCTGGTTAATGATTTAGTCTCCTCTAGAACCTTAGCTCCAAATATGATGGACGATTTCTGGAAATTCACCATTTGACATGAGGCATTTCCATACATCTTAATGCATCGCATGATTTCATCAGCTTCTTCAATTGATGATTTACACAGTAGAAAGTTGTCGTCTGCGAATAACAAATTGTAGATAGCTGGGCAAGAAGCTGCCAGTTTAATGCCATGTAACCGACCAGGGACTTCTGAGGTACTTAATCTGCTCACTAGCGCCTCGGCGCAAAGAATAAACAAGAAGGGTGACACATGATTGCCTTGCCTAATACCACGTTCCGGTCTAATGAAACCATGAGCATTGCCATTTAGGAGATCATATAATGTAACTGTACTGACACAAGGCATGATCCATCTGATCCAAATTCTATCGAAACCCAGTTTCTCCATCAACACCTCAAGGAAATTCAACATATCTGTTTTGATCGCCATCAATTCCTTTGAGATGGATTCATTAGTCCGAAGGCCGTGTACTAACTCGTGGGCAATGACAATGTTGTGTGAGATAAGCCGGCCAGTAACAAAAGCTCCATGCGTTTCCAAGATGATATCAGGGAGAATCACTTTGAGGGGATTACAAAGGATATTAGAGATGATCTTGTATTGAACTGAACAAAGGCTTATGGGTCTCATGTCTTTCATTCTCTCTGGTTTTTGTATCATTGGTAACAGGCTCAGCTGAGTATGGTTCCACCCTTCAGGAAGGATAGAAGTTTGAAAGAAGCGTTTTATTTCCTCCGATAAGCTAGGACCGACTATGTGCCAAAACTTCTGGTAAAAAAATTCATGTGAGGCCATCCTCTCCAGGAGTGCTACTCTTTTTTACGCAGAATGCAGCATCTCTAATTTCTCCATCCGTTACCGGAGCTGTGAGGCTCGAGTTCATCTCTACAATGACTTTACCATTAAAGCGGTCCTCAAACCTGCAACAATTCACATTGTTCTTCACGTTTCTCTCGTACGAGGCTGACCACTACATCAAATCGACGTCAAGAACGTTTTCCTCAATGGAAATTAATCTTCAAGAGACTGTATACATGCACCAACCACCCGGCTTCGTCGACAAGAGCAAACCTGACCATATCTGCCTCTTAAAGTTCTTTCTCTACGGACTTAAGCAGACGCCTCAAACGTGGAACACACGCTTTGCCTCTTACGCTAGACACCATGGGTTTTGTCAAAGCACAATTGATAAATCATTGTTTGTACTCTACTCTGGTTCAGACCTTGCTTACTTGCTCATATACATCGATGATATGGTGCTTACGGCCTCATCCAATAGCCTCCTACACAGCCTCATCAAGTGTCTCAACTCTGAGTTCAAAATGTCAGATCAAGGTCCTCTACATCACTTCCTCAGCATCAGTATAAAGAGAGACACTAACGGTCTTCTGCTCCATCAACAAAGTTATGCAGATGACATTCTACACCGCGCAAACATGTCCAACTGCAATCCCAGTCTCACTCCAGTCGACACCAAACAGAAGCTCTCTGCTGACGGCAGCCCACCGGTCTTTGATCCCACTCTCTACCGGAGCCTCGCAGGAGAACTTCAATACTTGACATTCACCCATTCGGACATAGCCTTTGCGGTTCAAAAAATATGTATCTTTATGCATGATCCATGTGAAGCTCACTTCCACGCACTCAAAAGAATTCTTCGATACATCAAGGCACTATCTCATACAGTATTAAGATTACCCATTCTCAATCTCTCTCTATCACGGCGTACTCTGATGCTGATTGGCCGGTTTCCCTTCAACTAGACGCTCCATCTCCGGCTACTGTGTCTTCCTAGGTGATAATATCGTCTCATGGTCCTCAAAACGTCAGTAAACAATCTCCAGATCCAGTGCAGAATCTGAGTATTGAGGCATCGCTAATGCAGTGTCCGAATCTACGTGGTTGTGCAACCTCTGTTGGAAACGAAGATACACATCTCTCGGGCCATCATTGTCTACTGCGATAATGTCAGTGCCATATATATCTCCTCCAATCCTTCTCATTATCAATGAACAAAACATGTCGAGATCTGACATATACTTCGTCTGCGAAAAGGTTCAATGGGTCATGTTAAGGTTTTTAATGTCCCCTCGACTCAATAGTTCGCTGATGTCTTCACAAGAGGTCTTCACTCTTCACTTTTCTTGGACTTCAGAAACAGTCCCATCGTCCGACCATCTCACGCTAAGACCGTGGGCGAGTGTTAGAGAATATACAGTTATATATGATTAGATATGTAAATATCTTTGTGATACACTTAGATACTCTCTAGAACCATCTATTGTATTGTATATATACTCTCATATAAATAATAATGGAGTTATGGAATTTCCTAGACTTACGGTATGATGCGGAGAAAGCATGTCCACTGAAAAAATGTACATATATTATAGATAGTTGATCATCGTATGTGATAGATTTAAATATTATATGATGATGTAATGTATACTACCTAGTATTACAAAAACAACAACATTATAATAGTTAATTTTGAGAAATTTAGTTAGAGTCGGACTTGAGTTAATGAGGGCACACAAAAATAATAATATTATAAATAATATATTAAAATAATAAGCAAAATAAAATCAAAAATGAAAAGATAAACAAATTCAGTTTTTACTTTTCCCACATAGTATTTACTTTATAAATATTCTTTGTATAGATTAATATATAGAAATAAACATTAAAAATAGGAATTCTTTGTATGTTGCGGTTCTGTTAAAATGTAACAAGGGGTTCAGGTATTAGTAAATACATTTTTTTTTTGGTAAAATGTTAAATTTATACCATTTTCGAGATTTAAATGTTGCGTACAACTTATTCATGCTGAAAGAAACAAAACGGAAAAGAAACAAATACAACCAAACTCAAGCGCGGACAAACCTCAAGGAGGTTGAGTACACGAGAAATAGAACTGCAGTGACGAAGGAGACTGATCTGAAGATGGGAAGGAGATGAGGCGGTCACGCATAAGACGGTCTAGAGCACGACGGAGACCAGAAGCTGATGTAGTAGTTGATGTGAAGATCCGAGCATTTCTTTCTCTCCAGATAAGATAGATGGCTGACTGTAGAATAAGCTTGATCACCGGAGCCTTTGTAGGATTCAGATGCCGTTGATTGATAAGAGCAGCTGCTGAGTGCAAGTCCAAGGGTGTTGCAGCAATTATCTGCTGCGAAAAATGCTTCCATATGCTGGAAGAGAATTCACACTCGAAGAAGAGATGGTGATGAGTTTCAATACCAGACGAGCAAAGGACACAATTTGCAGGGACATTAAGTCCCCATCTTCTCAAGCGGTCACGCGTCGGTAGCCTCCGCAACATAGCCAACCAAGTGACAAATGCATTGCGCGGAATATGTTCTTTAAACCAAATGACCTTGGACCAGAAAACTGGTGGTGATTTTTTTTTCTTATGAACTCCCAAGTAGTCTTCGAAGAAAAAAGAGGACCAAAACTTCCATCTGATTTGCGCCATAAGTACTGGTCATCACCCCTTTGAGGTGAAGGAACTGGAATTGTTGTTAAAACAATCTGGAGTGTTTCAGCTGCAAGAGATCTAACCGGAGGAAGGAGCCAATAATCATTACTTGTAGCCTTCGAGACAATTGCACATTTCGTGATTCCCAGCATTTGAGAACCGCCTTCACCTAGTACAGAGTTCAATGGCCCCAAGAGCGTCCAGGTATCATACCAAAAGGAGCAGGTTGTTCCAAAATTGATTTAGTATAGTTATACTAAATCAATTTTGTATTTTTGTTTAATCTATTTATACTTACTACAGAAATAAAATTTAAAACTCATATACTACTGTATAAAATTATTTTAGATTTGTTGATTGTCGTTTACAAAGGATCCAAATTGAGGTTTGCATTGTAATGAATCTCAGAATCTCTCACGAAACCGACCTCCGATCACAAAAAAAGAAAAGCAGCCAAAAAAGTAAGAGTACTTACCGAAGCTTCTAGGTCCATCACGTAGACTTGCTTTATGTGACCCAAAAAATCATCCCCAACATAAATATCGGGGATATATTTCAAATATTTTCATATTATTTCGTACTCCTAGAAAATGTTGGAATAAAACAATTGCAACGTTACCACAAAATTATGGAAAGTCGGCAAGTTCAGCTAAATGACCCGAAAGTTATCTTCGATTTTCCAACGGTTATCTTTGCCATCCACGTGTCACTAGCATCTCCTTGTGCATCTGCTGTGTCAAAATACGATACTATCCCTTGCGTAACAGCGTCTACTTTCATCAGTTTTAACGAGCGGAGGCTATATATGTCAATTAACATCAACGCTCAACGACTATTTATCTATTTGATTCATTGCTTGCTGCGAACAAAACATACACAGACAGACAGACACAAAAATGGCGACGGTACCTCTATTCAGCCAATTCCCATGCAAAACCATACTTCCATCCTCTTCGAACTCTAAAACCCAACCAAAATCTTCGAATCTAGTGTCCGTAAATTTGATTAACCGGCGGTTGGAGACTGGAACAGCTGTTCACCGGTCGGATTTCAAGGTCAGAGCTACGGACGTTAACGACGAGTGGGGTCCTGATGCCTTAGAGAGAGGATTGAATGTATCGGTTGCGGAGAAAGTAGCAGAAGAAGCCATCGAATCCGTGGAGGAGACGGAGGGGCTAAAGAGATTGCTAGCGGATTCTTTGTACGGAACAGATCGAGGTCTTAGCGCATCGAGCGAGACGAGAGCAGAGATCAGTGAGCTCATTACGCAGCTCGAGTCCAAGAACCCTAACCCAGCTCCCAACGAAGCTCTCTTTCTCCTCAGTGGCAAATGGATTCTCGCGTAAGTTATTATATTTTGCCGTGGAATGGTTTTTGGTTAGTTCGGTTCGTTTTAAATTGTGCCGAATTGAACCGAACAAGTTTGGTTTAGTATATTGTTTGTGAAAATTCTGCCACAGATTTCGGTTTTGGTTTAGATTTTTAGTTAGATTTATCAAAACTTGCTAATTTGGTTTTTTAGGTTGATTCAGAAAAAACAAATTGATTAGTTTGACGAGTCGGAATTTGGCTTAGATTTTGCCATTTTGGTTTAAATCTCTTTTTTTTTAAATTAAAAATTTACTAATAACCGATTTGCCTAATTGAACCGAATTCAAAACCGAATCTGAACCGACAACAACACTTTTTCGTTCAGTATGTTTCAAATCCGCAGACCTTATTATTATTAATCACGTGATTTAACTTAGATAGTGAAGCATTCTGCCATGTCAAGAACTTAATCCTCAACGTTAATCTCTTTGCAGTTACACATCGTTCGTTGGTCTGTTCCCGTTGCTCTCACGTAGAATCTCACCGTTGGTCAAAGTGGATGAGATCTCACAAACCATTGACTCCGACAGCTTCACCGTACAAAACTCTGTCCGGTTCGCTGGTCCCCTTGCCACGACGTCGTTTAGCACCAACGCTAAGTTCGAAGTCCAAAGTCCTAAACGCGTCCAGGTTCATCACCAGGCTATCACTTCTATCTTTTATACTGAGTATTATAAATTAGTAGAATTGTTACAAGACAGACCCTATAACTAAAAATGTGTCCATGTTTTGCATAACCTAACTGAGGTTTTTTGTTTGTGTGCTTGCAGATCAAGTTTGAGCAAGGTGTTATCGGGACTCCTCAGCTAACAGATTCAATTGAAATCCCCGAGTTCGTGGAGGTCCTTGGTCAGAAAATCGATCTCAACCCCATTAGAGGATTACTTACATCTGTCCAGGACACGGCTTCTTCAGTGGCTAGAACCATTTCAAGCCAACCACCGTTGAAATTCTCTTTGCCTGCAGAGAGAGCGCAGTCGTGGCTGCTCACTACTTATCTCGACAAAGACCTTCGGATCTCAAGAGGCGATGGCGGAAGCATCTTTGTGCTTTTCAAAGAAGGCAGCTCTCTCTTAAAACCTTAAACATTGTATAGTAAAATATATAGAACCATGTCTGTATTTAAAACCATGTCTTGTAAGTGTTGTTGTTGGAGAGTTATGATGGTTTTTGTATATTCAGTGTTTAAATGTTGGTTACTTTTTGCTTATAAAGTTATAAGTGGTGTCTGATTCAGTCTTTTATTAATTAGAAAACTGGTTTGTTAGCAGAACAGGTCTCTTCTTTACAGAAGCAACTGATGTGAGAGCACCGCATCTCCAGACAAGAAAACTATATCTCAAAGACGGGTTTACCAGAAAGCTTGTTCTGAATAATAATCATGAGAGAAACGTATCCTCAAGAACCAGTGAGAGAACAATTCCCTAACTCAAACGTGAAGAGGAAACAAAAGTTTGCTCAACTATCAGCAAGATGAAGAAAAAATGACACAATCAGCAAGTGTGAAGAGGAACAAAAGTTTGCATCAAGTTTGAGAAAACCAACCAAAACATTCTTAAAAGGAGTGAATGCAGCAGAAAGAGCCAAAGAGGCAATAATATGTAGAACTGCAGAAGCAAGAGACTGTATAGATTCATTCATAATTTAACTCAGACACTTGGTTGTTTGACGATTCAATTTGTATTTAGAGATTATATGTATCTTGCCAAAACCAGAAATTCATAATACAGAATCAGCAACAACTAATAAATTACTTGAGATAAACCCAACAAAATGTTGTAAGATCAAACACAAGTGTACTAAAACCCTAATCTTGATAATTACAATTCTGACAAGGCACCAACAGAATCGCTGCTTCAAGTAAGATGTTAAGTAAAGAAAGAGCTACTGTGGTCACATGGGAAGAGGAACAAGAGCAAAACAGAGGACTCCTCTGCACCTGAAAGACCAAAGACTAATGTTGTCGCCATCTCTCAGTCCATTAGCCATCACGACATCATTCCACCCACAAACCAAAGCGTAGTTCTAAGAACCCTTCATCTCCCATCTCTTGAGAAACACGCCCCACTTCTTAGTGCCTTGATAGACAATGTTCGAACCAAGTTCGGTCATTCTTTTCAGTGAATGAGTGACTGGACTCGTCTGTGGGTTATTTCAAAGGCGTTCTTTACTATTTAGAGTCGAAGAGTGATTTTATTAATAAAAGAGTTCGATTACAAATGAGGAAATGAGAGGCGAGGCGGAGTCTCGCGGAGAGCTCAGCCGTGCCGTACAAGTCGGAAAGAAAATACAAGAGTGAAAACCCTAATTCTACCCGCCTTGTGGGTAAAAGTGATTTCGGATCCTCTGCTTGTTACACTCTCTCCCTTTTTGATAGTGTCCTTTCATTGACCTAGCGAGCTGAGTGCATGCCTGTGAGGCCTTTTGCTCGATGGGCCTTAGTTGGCCCGATAAGGCGAACCCCTTATCTAAGTGTCATTAACTCGGGTAATCACGGGGGTTATCCAAGCTAAACCTGATTAGCCGTTAATCAATGAAATGTTGGTTCGTTGAGCCGGAGCTCGCGTGGGCCGGGCCGGTTACTTGACTGGACTTGTAAAGGAGGGGTATTCCACCTTCTACAGTAAGTCCCCCAGATTCGTTGCCGATTCATGACTCGAGTCGGGACGGATCTTGTCTATGGTCTGTTGAGTAACGGGGTCGATTGGTGTGTTCCGATGCTTCCACAGGCGGTAGCTCGTTGAATTGTTAGTTCGGAAAATGGTATTAGAGTGACCAGGAGTCGCTAGCTCGGAGAATGGCTCTTGGTGCGTCCGCTGAGTCGTTAGCTCGGAGAATGACTCTTGGTGCGTCCGCTGAGTCGTTGGCTCGGATGATTTGCAACTTGTCCTCTCGCGCGGGAAGGTGTGCGAGAAATAGAGGGAAGACATACAGTTTTTAATAACTGAGGCCCATCTAGGTCAGAATGTGAACAGTCACGAGCTACTTAGAGGCCCAATTAGGCCTTAATAGGCCTAATTATCGACTCTGGGAGTCACGCCCTGCTCTCCTATATATATCTCCCTTCACTTATTCCTCTCCATTTTCTTCGCCGCCACATGTAATCACTTCTCTCCCTTCTCTCTACTTTCTCTCTCTAAGTTGTATGATATATACGTTCATTATCGGTGAGATGTATCCACGAGTGAGGTTGACACGCGAAGAGAAAGGGAAAGATATTGCGACTTCGTCGCCGGCTAGGACGAGACGACCAACGAACCTCTAGAGGATTTTAGTTTAGAGCATAGGAATGCGTTGATGGACGTAGACGGTCGTAGTCTTTCTCAACGACTCTTAATCGTCGATACCGAGAGAGAACTCAGGGACGATGGCGTAGGGAACGCCATTGCGCAGATTATGGGCGATCCTCGAATTGAGCAACCTCGTTCGTCACCGCTCAGGTCGTCGAGGGTGAGTTCTAACCGATCTCGAGGAGGAAGTTCCGACAGATCCCGTCGAGCGAACTCCGGTCGATCTCAACCGACGGATCCTGATCGACCAGTATCTGTTTGGTATGTGTTAGATAACGCGAAGCGAGTAGAAAACGAAAAGCTTCCTCCAGCTCTGACTCGCTACACGGGGGAAGTGAACTTCGAAAGGGAGCCTGCAGTCCCGCGAGAGTTGCTACGCCCCACCAAAGTTGCCGGTCAGAACTGGCCGAACACACTTGAGACGGAGTCGATAGTGCAGGCCGTCGAGAATCTGCTTATAGCTCGGAAGGCGATCGGGGTTACTTATCTGATTCCGACCTCCGATCAGTGCCCATGGTCGCCGCCAGTTGGCTATCAGTGCGTGTATGAGTCATACTTCGGAGATCACACCAGGCTCTGGTTCCCGATTCCTCGCCTGCTGACTTCCTACATTGCTCGTTGCGGGATGGCGATTAGCCAGATGGTGAACGGACCGTTCCGCATCATGGTCGCACTTATGGTGATGGCGGCTGAAATCGGGATAAGCTTGTGTGTGTATGCGTTTGAGAAGTTAACGACGATATCTCGTCTCGGTCGAAGGCTTTTCTCGGTTAGGATGAGACAGAACTACAACGTCATTATCGGTCATCCAGACAAGACTCCACACGTCGCTACTTCTTCATTAAGTCGGATCATCACGCCTTTATCGACCCTCCGGATAACGAGTTCCGGATTTACTGGAACGGCGTAGCCGGTAGTTAGCTCGCCCTGATCAACGCTCATATACATTTAATCTGACTTGTCTTTTCTTCTTGTGCAGATCCGCACCCTAACTTCTACTTGACCGACGCCGCTGTTCCACCGTCATTTCTCTCCGACGCTAGAGCCTTGGTTGAGTTAGGCCATCGAAAGTGGCCTGATATAAGCGAGGAAAGGATCCAACGTGAGATAGATCGCATCAACTGGGGTAAGGAAGAACGCACTCAGTCTTCCCTTTTATTTCATGTGTGGTCTTTTTGCTCAAATCGTTGCTTGTACAGGTAATTGGGACAAAGTGTTCCAGTACGATTCCAAACCCGGAAGGAAAAGGTCGAATCTCTTTTCTAAGGCGGAACAGAAAGTCATCAAACAGGCGCTTACGATGAAAGGACTCCCAGATCTCTCTCAAATTATCTAGGAAAAGCGAGGCGGCGCTTCGCAAGGCAATGCGCTGATGGGGTTGATCGATTCTTTCGATCTTGGAGGAGGAACATCGTCTGACGACCCAATTCCTCCTCCTGCTGGGAGAAATGCTGCTGACATATCGGGTGTATCGACTGGAGGCCCAAAGAGGCCGCGGGTCGAGGAAGCAGAAGGTCAGGTCGCTGATCTCGAAGTAGCCGGCGATGATCTTCCTGCGGGTTCTCCGGCTAAGAAAAGGAGGAGAAAGAAGAAGTCCAAGTCGGTTGAGGATGGGTCTGCATCTAAGGATGCCCCGAGTACCCATGATCGCGAGGATGCTGGGAGTCTTCCTGTGGAGGAAGTTGTAGAAGGTCAGGAGCTCGCCGTGGTGAACCCGACAGATGAAATCCCTCCGCTCAAGCAGGGTGCATCCCTTCCTGACGATCCCAAAGAGAAGGCGAAGAAGAAGGGTAAGAAGAAGAAGAAGAAGGCATCGAAAGAAACGGCCGGTCCCGACGTGGGAGCCGGTTCTTCGGCTGACAAGACCTGCGGCCCTGATCCCGGGATCCTTCGATTTTCTGATCAACTGGTCTTCAAGGAGGCCTATTTGAATGTGGCTCTGCTCAAAGAGGCGGTTAGTTATTTCTTTGGTCCTTCTTTTCGACGCTAAGCTCTTATCTTGCCATACTTACGTCCGAAGTGTTCATCTGCAGGCGGATGATGGGGTCAATGCCTTGGTCGAGAAGTACGATGGCGAACTCAGAGCGACGTACATCAGTCTCAGGGAGGCTCAAGAGAAGATCGATATTGAACGAAAACGTTCAGTTACTCTTGAAACCTCGCTCGCGGACTCGGAAGCGATGAGAGCTGAAGCCACTTGCCGAGCTGACGACAAGGCGAAGGAGCTCGAGGAAATTTCAAAGGAGTTGGAAGCTGTTAAGGCTGCATCCGCCGAATTTGAGAAGGAGAAGGCTAGAATCGAGATGAAGATGGCCAAGATCATGAAGGACGCGGATTACGAGGTTTCTCATCTGAGGAGGAGTCGGGTTCTCGAGGTCACCCATGAACGAGCGAGGACTCAGTTTGAGATGGGAAAGAAGGCGAACGCTCACTTTGAGCAGCTCAAAGCTTGTGATGCGAAAATGGACGCGTATGATGACGCGAGAGGTCTCTGGAGTCAAGCCTTTGGGACTCGGAAATGCTTGGAGTTGCTTAAAAAAGATGGGGAGGCTATTCCGCAAGCAAAAATAGACGAGTTCCGAGAAGAGGAAAAGACTCACAAGGCAGAGGCCGAAAGGCTGTACCCCGGGTCACCCGATAAAGAGGTTTATTGTCTCTCCCCCCTGGTGCTTTCCTCTAAGTACGTCGATGAGACGGTCCTCGCATACATGATGGCTGGTTACGACAGGAATTCAGTCGATGGATTTGATCCAAGCGGATCGAACGTGAACGAGATGACTCCCGAGATAGCTGCTCGGCTTCGTTCTCCTGTTCATTCAGGCGGCGTCTAGCAGGTCCCGACTCTTCCGAAGAGGTCGATGTGTCGGGTCTCGACGGTACCAATGGCAGCAATTTTTGAGTTGATATCGAGGAGAGCTTGTTTAAGAGCGGCGATTTCCTGGATAGTTTGCAGATCTGGGCCGTTTTCCGGTTGTACGGAGTCATCCAAGGGTCTGGTCGGCAAGATGGGCTGGTACGCTGGAGTAGAGATAGGGTTTGTGTTGAAGAGAAATCGCCGAGCCGTGGAAAGGTGTCCTTCGGCACCGTCAGGGTTTGCGAGTACGGCGGTGATGGCCGCGAGGTGCTCGTTCGTCGTCTTATGGGCTTCGTCTTGACGAGCAAGGCGTTCCATGACGGAGTCGATGAAGGTGGGAACGAGTGATACGGCGGCGCCCGAGGTCGGTGCTGCGGCATCTTCCTCATCGCCGGAGGTTGAATCATTACTCGGACTCATACTTGTATTGATGCTACTTTGTTATGCCCCACGGTGGGCGCCAACTGTTCGAACCGAGTTCGGTCTTTTTAGTGAATGAGTGACTGGACTCGTCTGTGGGTTATTTCAAAGGCGTTCTTTACTATTTAGAGTCGAAGAGTGATTTTATTAATAAAGGAGTTCGGTTAGAAATGAGGAAATGAGAGGCGAGGCGGAGTCTCATGGAGAGCTCAGTCGTGCCGTACAAGTCGGAAAGAAAATATAAGAGTGAAAACCATAATTATAGCCGCCTTGTGGGTAAAAGTGATTTCGGATCCTCTGCTTGTTACCCTCTCTCCCTTTTTTATAGCGTCCTTTCATTGACCTGGCGAGCTGAGTGCATGCCTGTGAGGCCTTTCGCTCGATGGGCCTTAGTTGGCCCGATAAGACGAACCCCTTATCTAAGTGTCATTAACTCGGGCAATCACGGGGATTATCCGAGCTAAACCTGATTACCCGTTAATCAATAAAATGTTGCTTCGTTGGGCCGGAGCTCGCGTGGGCCGGGCCCGTTACTCGACAGGCCTTGTAAAGGAGGGGTATTCCACCTCCTACAAACAAGAACCACTCCCACACCCATCTTCTCGCTGTTGTTGATGTCTTCCTCGATTATTCTTGACTCAACAGGTGTCAAGAAGTCGTTTCAAATCAATTTATGTAAAGGGATTGAGAGAAGGCTATGGCTAGGTTTGACATCTGTTTCGAAAAGAGTCTTCTCAAAGATCAGAATCGGGTCTGAGGCTCCTTTCATGTTTCTCATTATCTGGAGCACCCAATCAGGCGTATATTTCCCCTCCCATGTGAAGAAAGGTGACACCTTTGCTTTCTTGTAACTACGCTTTCCTTCTTGCACGGCAAGTCTCTTGCAGCTTGTGTTGTTCTATGTTAGGCACGATGAAGAAGATGATGATAGGGAACTAGGGTTTTGTGGGTTTGTCTTCTCGGACTTAACCGTGTTGCAATTGACGATCGGAGAAGAACCATTAGGGTTTTGAAGAGGTTTCTTGAACGATGATGATGATCTTGGTCTTCTTGGGAAGTGATAGAAGATTCTCTGTTCGTCTTCTTTTTCCAATATACGGTCTTATTCTCCGTGTGTTCTTGTTCGTACAAAAGAACCGCCTTATCCACCAAAAGAGAGAAATTCTACCACGTCTCCGTGAGATTACCATAATACATACTCATTGTGAATCTGTGATCGGAGGGAGATGAACAGGAAAAAAAAATCAAGATCGTCACTTGTAACTAAATGGTCTGTTTTTTCACTTGTCCGATCTATTTAATTAAGGCATCAAATAAAAAATCTTAAGAAGTATACAATAAAAGATATATATAAGCAACTTTAATTTAATTTTTGTAATATTTTAATTACATATATAATTGTAACTAGGTGTTGTCCCCGCATATGCGGGCTTAATTTCTTATGAATATTTATTATTTTTTGTTTTATTAATTCTAAAATAATATTATAAGTTATTTTTATAATTTTAAAAAACTTAAATCAAACTTTAAAATACTAATTTTCATCAAAATCTACATGCTTATTATAGTGTTGAGAAACATCCATATAACAAAATATTTTTGAAAATATATTTATATTTTTTCTTAATATTTAATTTTAAATTTTTTATAACATAAATTTTTATTTTTCATAATAAAGAAAAATATTTCCAGATAACTTTATAATATTCTATAAGATATCTTATGTTTTAAATATGCATGAATCCTATTAATTTATAATAAATTAACTAATATAATAACATATAAATTTTTATCACTAACATAAATTCGTTTTTAACTAATTTATATATAAATATATATATATATATATATATATATTTCATTAAAGTTACATTAACTTGAAATATTCCAATTTTTAATACCTAATATTTAATTATATATTAAAAGTATCTCAAATATTTTTGTTTGATTAATATTTAAATAAATTTGATTTTTATATTTTAATTTTTAAATTTTATAATAAAATGATATTATTTTCAAAAGCCAAAATCAGTTATATATAAAATTAAGATATATAAGCATTATCATGTTGTTACAATATTATATTCAGATAATGATAACATATATAAGAATTATCCTATTTTTGATTTTTTATAAACTTACTATATTAATTATCCTTTTATTATCTAAGATAATAACATACTTATCTAATTTTATTTTTTAAATTTCATTTTTAATTATAAAATTAGTTATATATAAAAATTTCATTAAGGGTAAAATAGATATTAACCGCTCTAACTTTTAACGTGAGAGCTCCCTTTCGAAAATTCACTTCGCAGCGAAAATTCACTTCGCCAATAATAGTATAGATATAATTTTTTATCACTAACATAAATTTGTTTTTAACTAATTTATATATAAAAATATATATATATATATATATATATATATATATATATATATTTCATTAAAGGTACATTAACTTGAACTATTCCAATTTTTAATACCTACTATTTAATTATATATTAAAAGTATCTTTATACAAATATTTTTGTTTGATTAATATTTAATTAAATTTGATTTTTATATTTTAATTTTTAAATTTTATAATAAAATGATATTATTTTCAAAAGCCAAAATCAATTATTTATAAAATTAAGATATATAAGCATTATCATGTTGTTACAATATTATATTCAGATAATGATAACATATATAAGAATTACCTTATTTTTTATTTTTTATAAACTTATTATATTAATTATCCTTTATTATCTAAGATAAGAGCATACTTATCTAAATTTATTTTTTAAACTAGGTGTTTTGTCCGCACTTGCGGGCTTAATAATTTTACTAATATCAATAAGCAAATATATAATCAATTTAAATAAATTATTGTGCATACACTCAAAACATTTAATAATAATCTAAACATATTCTTTCTATATATAAAATTTTTCATAATCATATAAATAATTATCATTTCACAAATTAAATGTGAAATTCTCATAAATTTCAAATATTTTGTAATAAATTAATATGTTTTCTAGACATAACAAAAAGAAGTATAATAAAATTAAATTTAGTAATGTTTTGGATAACACAATATAAATTATCTATACATATATTCTTTGCAAATTTATTTTTTCATAATTAAATATATATTAAAAAATATAATTATTTTTCAAGGTTAATAAAGACTTTATAACATAATATAAAAAGTTAGATAAGGATAATTATCAAATTCATGAAATTCGTTTTTAATTTAGAATTAATTATATATTAACAAATATAATTATTTTTCAAGGTTGATAAACATAATATATTTTTTTAAAATAAGGATAATTATCAAATAAATGAAATTTGTTTTTAATTTATAATAATTCTATTTTAACAAATATAATTATTTTTCAAGGTTAATAAAAACTTTATAACCCAATATAAAATAGTTTTAGATAAAGGTAAATCTAAAATCAATTAAAATTCATTTTTATTTATGTTTAATTATATATTAAAAATTTTAATTATTCATTAAGGGTATAAACGATATTAACCACTCCAACTTTTAACGTGAGAGCTCCGTTGCGAAAATCACTTCGCAAATAATAGTATAGATTTCGTTTTTAATTACAAAATTAGTTATATATAAAAATTTCATCAAGGGTAAAATAGATATTAACCGCTCTAATTTTTAACATGGGAGCTCCGTTGCGAAAAATAACTTCGCAAATAATAGTATAGATTCTATATTTTAATTGTAATTTGAAGTATTTAAACTATTAGTTCATTGGAAAACAATTTCACTGAATGAAAGAAAAAACGCATAATAACGAAATTGTAATCTATTCGTTCCTTTCAATATTAAGATAAACATAATTTATAACAAAATAATAAATATACATAATGAAAATTTAAATTAAAGTACACTAATTATTTTGAAATATCGTTACGATTGATGGTATATGATGTAATTTTTTCATATGCTACGGGCGGACAAAATACTAGTATATATATATATGGAGAGGATGATGCCAAAAATGGAGCTTTTCTGGCCATTGGCATATGATTCAAACAAACAAATCATGTTAATGAGAGTTCCAAAAAAAGATAACTTTTAGTTGCATGACCGAAACCATAAGAAAGGCCGAAACCATAAGAAAGGCAAAACATTGTTTTAGACTACTTATGTTGTTGCAAACAAAACTAAAGTATCTCGACAAAAGTCCCGAGTTAGGTTTAAGTAGTGCAGGCGAATTAACATATTTAGAGGAAATAACGAGAAGGGTGTTCAGCGCAGAGGAAGTGGTTTGAATCGAGGGGTCCAAGTCATATCCGGCTGCGAGAGAGAAGAAAATGGCTGTGTTAGGGCCAGATTGTCTAAATGAGAGAGAAACTATAGTCATCGGTAGTGATTTTACCGTGCAAATCGGATAGAACTCGAAGGTGTGATTATCAAACATGTGTACACCCGTGAACTGGAGCGCAAAACGAGGTCCACATTCCTGCCACAAAAAAAAAAATGATACAATCGAAAACAAGAACTTCTCCAATTTTCGTTGATGCAAAGCACAAAATCATAAGGGAAAGTTACTTTGATCAGTGAGCGAACACTAGGAGGAGGTTGTCCTTCAACGGTTTCCTTTTTGAAGTAACTAAACAAAGAGAAGAAAACAAAATATTTTTATTTTTTTGTTCTATATGATAATAATCGCATAAGAGACTAAACAAAGAGAAGAAAACAAAATGTTTACCCAGAATGTCGGAAAAAGATATAATTATTTTGCTTCTCAAACCATGCAATACTCCTTTGACTAGGGACATCAGGGACATAGGGGAAGAGCGCTTGTATCATTCTGAAGAGGAAAGAAAGATGACATTATTAAGACGTGCTAGATACAAAGAAGAAAACGAATTTATATAGTATGAATAAAGCATTTCAGAACTGTACTTGGCAGTGCCAACATTGGCAGGAGACTTAAAACCTCTCATCTGAAGACGCGGGTAGAGGCCGCTGATGGGATCAGAACGATTCTAAAAAGGAAAGGTTGGAACTAAATTAAATCAAGGCAGATTATAAAAATAGACAAAAAGTGATATATACCGGAATATCCTCCCGTGGGATGAGATCAATAACTCTGAAATCAGCCTTGGCATGATTCAGCAAGTTCACGATACTGATTGAATCTGCAGTAAACAGAACCACAAATAAAAAGATAAGATGATATATATATATATATATAAACACGAAGAAGAAACACGGACCTTCTCCAGTATGGTCTGTAAAAGCGAAGATGAGAGATGTGCAACCCTTCTCTCTCGCTAATGCTATGACCTGTGCCGTGGGTTTAGACAAACATATATAGACAAACAAACACGTTTAGACGCTAGAAAAGAAAAAAATTACAAAACTATGAAACCAGTGTGTTAAGCGTTTTGGACACTAACAGCATCATGTCTGACGTTGGGCCCTCTGATCACGTATTTAGAATTGGGGAACACCGAGGCCATTTCTCTCGCAATAAAANAGTGTGTTAAGCGTTTTGGACACTAACAGCATCATGTCTGACGTTGGGCCCTCTGATCACGTATTTAGAATTGGGGAACACCGAGGCCATTTCTCTCGCAATAAAAGGTCCTCTCTCAGGATAGCTTTTCTGACCATATGACAAAAACAAAGAGACACACACCAGTCATGGATCATAACTACTTAATTAAACAAGTATACGTTATTAAGTTGGCCTTACAGAGCATGGAAACATATAGGTAGTGATCAAGGTCTTGGGTTGGATTTCACCACTCAGGATCTTATCTGTTTCCTCCCACTTAAATCCTGCCCAGAGCTGACCAAAAAAAACACAGACTTCTCACCAACGGTTCCATGAGTACAAACATACAATTTACGAGAACTACCTCATCATCATCCAGGCTCGCTATCTTCCTCGGGATCTTCCTCTCTGGCTCTTCCATGGCCGTTTCCTCCTTCTCCCTCTTCCTCCGCATCCTCCTCCGGATCTTCCTCTCTGCCTCTTCCATGGCCGTTTCCTCCTTCTTCCTCTTCCTCCCGATCCTCCACCGGATCTTCCTCTCTGGCTCTTCCATGGTCTTGGGTTGGATTTCACCACTCAGGATCTTATCTGTTTCCTCCCATTTAAAACCTGCCCAGAGCTGCCAAAAAAGAACAAAACTTGCTCAACACGGTTCCAAAGTTACAAACATACAATTAAAGAGAACTACTTTATCATCATCCAGGCTCGTGATCTTCCTCTCTGGCTGATCCCACGCCTTCCTCGTCATCTCCTTCTTCTTCTCCGGCTGCCTCTATGCGCCGTTAGGGTTTTGTTTTTTTTATCCAGATTATTAATTGGACTATTTTGGGTTCTACTCATCAACGCCCAATTCTACTCTGGGCTCATAAAATATACTCCGTTTTAAAATCCTTTTAATTCATCAAGATTCATGTCATATAAGTGAAACTATATAAAAACTGAAACTTCTCAAAACGTGAAGAGGAAACAAAAGTTTGCTCAACTATCAGCAAGAAGAAGAAAAAAATGACACAATCAAGAAGGACCCTATCAGGAACAAGTGTGAAGAGGAACATAAATTTGCATCAAGTTTGAGGAAACCAACCAAAACATTCTTCAAAGGAGTGAATGCAGCAGAAAGAGCCAAAGAGGCAATAATATGTAGAACTGCAGAAGCAAGAGACTGTATAGATTCATTCATAATTTAACTCAGACACTTGGTTGTTTGACGATTCAATTTTGTTGGAATTGAATCTTTGATTAAACCTACAAAGAGAATATGGAATCAAGAGAAGAGAAGAAGCGTGAAGAGCAAGAACAAGGAAGAAGACTTGGTTGTGTAACAAGAAGTTACACAACAAGAAGAATAAGAGTATTAGTTTGGTTAAGCAAACTAAGTTATGTGTTTGAAGTTAGTGGAAGAGTTGTTGGAGTGGTCAACAACCAAAGCAAGTTGTTTAGCTTTGCTTGTATAGTTAGTCTATGGCCTAAATGTAGAGGCATGGAGTAGAGTAAGGTGTGTGTATAGTAGTTAGTGAAAAATACTATAAGTGTGTGCTGATGTTGTAAGAATAAGACATCCAATCATATATATAACTAGGTAGAGACCCGCGCAAAAGCGCGGAGTGAGATCAATAATATTATCAACATAACATAAATTTCATTATATATAGTGTATACCTTAATCATAATGTACAACAGTAAATATTAACGATAAATTTAAATGGATTAATATGTCCCAAAATCTCATTTGACATAGTATAAACCCAAAATTTGATTATTTTTTTTTGTTTTTTGTTTTTTTGAATACGGCATTCCAACATTCAGGTTGGGATGGAATGAATGAGACCAATAGATTGATGTTTATATAGCAGAACCAATGTTTTTTTCTTGGTAAAAGGCATAAGAAAACCAATGTTAGCACAATTAATTGCAAACGATAAGTATAGGAAATGTATATACATAAAAGGAAAAGAACCTTACAAATTTATTCTAATTTACATATAAATGTAGGATTGACTCTAACTTGCCTTAACTAATCCTTCAATCACATAATTTGCGTATACTATTGGTGAGAATTAATGCCATATATATGTTTGTACAATAAATGGCTTGAATTGTTAGGGAACTATTTATACTATAAACAAATGTGATTTCTCTTCTAATTTCCACACGCTTGTAGGTGTGACTCTAACTTTCCTTCACAATCCTTTGACTCTAACTTTCCTTCACTTTCCGTTTATGCAATATTTTTGAATTTGCTAAACTATGTCACCATCGGGTCTATAAAAACATTTATATCTTCACCCGAAAATCTCTTTCCTAATAAGATCGTGTTAACCAAGCACGTAGTACATAAAAGGAATAAGAAATGTTTTTGTATGTTATTAAGAACTTGTTTACATTGTATGTTGGAAAATTTCTAAAGTGCATGAGTACAATGTTTGCAAAAAGAATTGGTTTTCGGTTTTAACAAATGTGGAACGAATTGGAATATAGAAAAAGTCTTTGTTCGCAAGCTCATGTGTTCATGATGGATAAAACAAATTCCCAGAAATGTGTTCACTTTCAAGGTCATTATTGATTCATTATATTCTAAATGTTGACTGAAGCATGAATCCTAAGGAATTGGTAAAATAGAAAATGTCATTGTTACCAAGTTCATGTATTCTAACTACCTTCTAATAATTTTTTATAGGTCCAAGGGAAGTTATCAATATAATCCGAGCCAATGCAGTAGAGTCCACCGGAGAAACCTTAAGACCTTACACAAAAATGTATATGTTGCCAATATAATAGTAAATCAACGTAAGTCCAATGGCATCTCCTAGTAATTACTCTAGATACAAAAGGGTAAATTGAAAGGTCAGCTGAGGAGAGCTATCAAGTTGACACATATGCAAAATGGCATAGATGTAAATAAATTACCAATTAAAGGTTACTCTTTTATTTTGCTTCTTCTTTAATAATAAGAGGATGGGGCACTTTTTGCCTCTCCCTTAAGAGGCCACGTCATCAATCCTTTAGATATGTGGGTCCCACTTTAAGTCCGATTTTAAATAATTTTTATGGTTTTGTGTTCTGTCTGATAAATAAATCGGTGAGATCGAAACACAGCTTTTAATGACAGAGACGATTAGGGTTTTATAGAGATTTATCTTTCCAGGATCGCCGACGCTTCACTTCAAATGCGGATCTTTTCACCTCCCTTATCGTACAATCCAATCTGTCTTATTTCACCCTCTCATCTTTTAACTTCCTCCTTTGTTGTGAACAACAAAAACCACTCAACGTTTGACCTTTCCTCTCCTCATTCTCTGTCCTCGACCTGTTTCGATGCCTGAGTCTCTGAATCGGTCGCTGCGTCTCCGACTACTCCGCGTTGTGTCTCCTCCTTTGCGCGCGGCTCCAGATCTCCTCCTGTTCCTGACTATCCTACATGGCCCCAGATGTCTTTTCCTTCTCGACAACTAGCCGTAGATGGTTCTTATACTCGTCGGAGGTAAACGCAACTCGAAGTCGGCATGAAAACATCTTAAAAAAATAGGTTTATAACATTTCTGCTCCACTTTCTCAGGCTTCTACAACACGTTCATTCATTATATATCACCTACATGGAATTCCAGCCACATCTTATTGTTTATCAATAATCTTTGTGAATCCATATGATCTTTGTTATTGGCCAAAAGTTGGCTCCTTTTGATGAAGAAAACCTCATCCCATGTTTTGGGTTTGGCGAAAATGAGTTTCTTCCCAATACAATCTCATCTTCAGTTTTTTACTCACTGCGTTTTTTTTCCATCATTACTCAGCTATGACCCATGGCGAGGAAGTGTTCAGTTTGCACAGTGACAATTCTCTAAGCCATGGCTTTGAAGATGCCTTGCCATGTTATAGAAGAATCACACCTAACTTTCTTTTATCAGGTAATTTTCCTCTCTCTGGTAACAATTTCCCTCTCTTCATGCTGGTTTAAGGTCAATTTTTTTCAGGTTCCAACAATTATGTCTTGCTCCTATTGGCTAAAGATTCTAAGAATGGTTTCTCTTTTGTCAGGCCTGACGCATAAAGCTTATAACTTTGCTTGATGCATTTGCTACTTCTGGAATGGTGGCGCAAGCAAAGACCGTCGTCTTTAAGAATCATATGGCAAGACAGTTGGTGAAGAGATTTATTCTATTGTGTGAAGTGTGTGTGTTTCTTTTACGTTTTAGACTGGTAACAATAACTCCATCCCTGATTTTTCCCGGATCTCTGCTCTTAGTGTGCTTATTATTATTTTTTTTTAAACGAAGTTTTCACAATTGGACATCTCAACACCTTCATCTCCAACAAGCAGGTTTGAGGCTAACTCAGAACATATAATGTTTGGTATTCTTGACTTCGAATAGTAGCATAAATTAGAAAATCTCTTTCTATGAAGAGACAGGAGGCTGATACTCTGTCCAAGGCTCGGACTATGGGGTCCTCCAATAAAATGGGTGGTCTTTTGTCTCATGCACCGGATGCAACAAGAAGTTGGCAAAATCAGGGACTACCCTCCAGTGCAACACATGTGTTAATGCTGATGCCACCGGTGTTATCAGGTTTGTTGTTTATCCTCTAACATTTATAAAACAAACCTTTTTTTATACTCAGTAATCCTTGGATTCCTCTATTTTAAGGTTCAGTGTTGAGCTTGTTGTGGATGATGGCAGAGATAGCGGTACATTTGTAGTCATCGAAAGAAGCTGACTAGGAAAGAAACTGTTGTTCTTGCGCTTGAGGTATTTTTATTCTACCAATACATTGACTGACCGTTTTATATTTTAATGGTAGCTCTCAACAACCCTGAAACTACTAACCTACTACAGATAACAAAGGGTGGAGAGGAGCTACCAAACTGCCTTGAAGAGTTAACTCACAAGCAGTTCGTATTTAAAATCCGTGTTACACCTTACAATTTCACACCTAATCACCGTAGCTTCATTATCTCCATTATCTTTGAATATCTCATCATTGACATTCAAGCCGCAGTGGGGTAATTTTAGTGTTTAATATCTTTACATTCCACTGATGAATGATTGATGGGATTTACATAATTAATCATGTTCAAAGCTTATTGCATTATACATATACATAAAGAAGCAACAGATGAGTTAAGATAACATCATCATTGGCGTTCTGAACTAAGACAAAATAAGAATAATTACAAAATTTGGAAAAATGATCATTATTTCAAGACAAATAAACAACATACGGCTATGCTACAAGAAGGGAAGTGATTCCCAACAACAAAACACTATAAAAGAAAACAGCAACCTCAAACACATTACGATATAAATCTCGAAAAATGAAAGACAAAACCATAGCATCACTTCAACATGTTTATATGAAGCACAAAAAATCAATATCCCCGCGCTTGCGCGGGGCTACGCACCTAGTTCTAATAAAGAAAAGAGTTGGAAAGAAAGAACAATGTAGACAATTAAAGATTACTCTCTTCTCTCTACAAGAACAACAAAACGGTGAGAGTCAAGAGAGTGTGTATGCTTGTGTAATGATAAAACACAAGTAAAGAAACATTGTGTGTGTGTGTGTGAGAAAAACAGAGACCAAAAACAGAGTAAGAAAGAGAGGCTGGCCGAGAGTTGAGAAGAGTGGAGAGGCCAAGCCAAAATCACAACAAATTTGTATTTAGAGATTATATGTTCTTGCCAAAAACAGAAACTTGTCTTACCAAACACATTTTTTGTTCCTGGTTTTATATATTTCTTGCTCTTAAAACAACTAAACTGAGTTAACATCCGTTTGATTCAAGATTCATGTGAGATAAATGAAACTATCAATAAACTGAAATGTATTAATGCCAAAACATTCATCAATTAATAATACAGAAGCAGAAACAACTAAAAATGACTTGAGACAAACCCAACAAAGTGTTTGTAAGATAAAACACAAGTGTACTAAAACCCTAATCTTGATAATTACAATTCTGACAAGGCACCTACAGAATCGCTGCTTCAAGTAAGATGTTAAGTAAAGAAAGAGCTACTGTGGTCACATAGGAAGAGGAACAAGGGCAAAACAGAGGACTCCTCTGCACCTGAAAGACCAAAGACTAATTTTGTCGCCATCTCTCAGTCCATTAGCCTTGACGACATCGTTCCACCCACAAACCAAAGCGTAGTTCCAAGAACCATTCATCTCCCATCTCTTGAGAAACACACCCCACTTCTTAGTGCCTTGATCAACAAGAACCGCTCCCACATCCATCTTTTCGTTGTTGTTGATGTCTTCCTCGATGATTCTTGACTCAACAGGTGTCAAGAAGTCGTTTCGGATCAGTTTGTGGAAAGGGATCGAGAGACGGCTCTGGCTTGGCTTGACATCTGTCTCGAAAAGAGTCTTCTCAAAGATCAGAATCGGGTCTGAGGCTCCTTTCGGGGTTCTCATCAACTGCACTATCCACTCCGGCGTATCTTTCCCCTCCCATGTGAATAAAGGTGACACCTTTGCTTTCTTGTAACTACGCTTTCCTTCTTGCACGACAAGTCTCTTGCGGCTTGTGTTGTTCTCTGTTAGGCACGATGAAGAAGATGATGATAGGGAACTAGGGTTTTGTGGGTTTTTAGTCTTTGTCTTCTCTGAGGGAATCTTGTTAAGATCGAAGAGCGGAGAAGAACCACGATTAATGTTTTGAAGAGGTTTCTTGAACGATGATGATGATCTTGGTCTTCTTGGGAAGTGATCGAAGATTCTTTGTTCGTCTTCTTCTTTCCAAGATACGGTCTTCTTCTCCGTGTGTTCTTGTTCGTACAAAAGAACCGCATTATCCACCAAAAGAGAGAAATTAGACCAGGTCTCCGTGAGATCACTGTAATACATATGTAAAGCCCCAACCGCCCACGACTAATAGGCCACCCACGCCCGTTCTCTCGGCCCATGGGCTTATCCCGTTCCAACGGTCGGTCCGTTAATTTTCCAAGGCTCTATAGTCATGTTTACTGACCATGCAATCACCACATGACATTTCCCCGTGCTTTGGCCCTTACCCACCAAAGATCTCATTCCAATTAAAAAAATAAACCCTTTTCCTTTGTAAAAAAAAAAAAATTTTAGATTTTGACCTAAAATGTAGTATTACTTTACTTAGTTTAGACAAATATAAAAATTTCGAGAGTTTAATTTTAAAAAAAATAAAATATCATAAAATTAATAATAATTCATAGAAAACAAATGAAAAAATTGAAAATTTTAGTATGTTGTTTAATTCTAAAATAAGTTAACAAAAAAAACATGTTAATACATGAGTAGTACAATTACACCAAACTGCATCAAGTTACAAATTTTTTAATATAATATTATGTACAAACAAAAAATCATCATCAAATATCTATGTTATAAACTAATATATTATACTCTATATGTAAATTACAAAACATAAAAATACACATGAATTTTTTTCATAAAACCAACTATTTATGAATTTATGTTGAACACAAGTTAAAACAAACATCCGCACAGGAGTGTGGGTCAAATTCTAGTTTATATTAATAACCAAACTGCAAGGCGCATACTAATGACATAAAATCAAGTCGCTGTAAGTATAATATTACTTATTTAATTTCACATAACTTGTGTTCCAAAATATTATTAAAACTTACCTTTAAATTGAAGACATAATCAAGCTTTCCTTTTATATACAAAATAAAATAAAATCAATGAAAAAAGATTATTATTTGATTTCTAAAAATTGAATTCATATTCTAGTTTCCTTATAAGGGGTGCAATGATTACTTAGAAGAACAAACATCTTTTAAAGGCAAATTTGTTTAAAATATATAAAATAAAACATAATAGAAAGGAAATTGATGGTCTTATGCATATATTCTGTGATAAGTGTATTGCTACTAATTAAAATTAATATGTTGCTCCTCATCCAAAAGTTAAAAGATATAATCTAAATTAGAAATATGTATTGCTATAAAATAAAACATAATAGAAAGGAAATTGATGCTCTTATGCATATATGAAATAAAACTTTTAATATATAAAATAAAACATAATCAAAAGGAAATTGATGCTCTTATGCATATATTCTGTGATAAATGTATTGCTACTAATTAAAATCAATATGTTGCTCCTCATCCAAAAGTTAAACGAATGTAACCTTGAAAATGATTTATCATACATACATATAGAGAAAACAACCATTAAAACCCTCAACTTTCAAATTAAAGCCCAAAAAAGCTTCAACTCATGTTTGAGCCAAAAAATCTTCAACTTTCAAATATTTGCCGTTTCAACTCTCATATTTTGTTGACTCGACCATTTAAGAAATCCAAATAGTAAACTCTTAAACGAGATTATAAAATAGATGTATGTTAGCTTTGTAAACGAGGTCGTTTTAAAAATTAGTCAAACAACGTTATTTTGCTTCTTTAAACACTTAAACCATATCTTTCGTGAAACTAGAGTCCAAAATCGACTTCATCTTCCTGAATCGAGATGAGGAAGATGAAGTCGATTTAAGGTTATGGTTTCACGAATAAGATGCTTTAAGTGTTTAAAAAAGCAAAAATATGTTGTTTGATTAACGTTTAATCAGTTTTTAAAACAACATCGTTTAAAGAATGACTAAATGAGTTTCTTAAATAGCCAGCTCAACAAAATATGAGAGTTAAAACGGGAGTTATTCTTGGGTTGACCCCCTAGGGTGAATCTCTAAATTCACCATCCAATAGGATTGCATCATTTCATATTTGATATATTTTTAAAAAGGAAACAAAATCTTGTTAAGTTATATTATGTTTTTAAAAATAAAAATACAAAATAAATAAATAATAATAATAATTAATAAAAACGAAAATAATTCTTAAAAAAAAACATTTTAACACTAAACCCTAAACTCTAATCCTAAACCCTAAACCCCTTGGTAAATCATAAATCTTTGGTAAATTTTATAAAAAAATCTTTAAAAAAATTCTTTTCACTAAAACACTAAACCCTAAACTCTAATCCTAAACCCTAAACCCTAAACCCTTGGGTAAATCATAAACATTAAACCCTAAATTCTAATCCTAAACCCTAAACCCTTGGATAAATCATAAACACTAAACCCTAAACTCTAATCCTAAACCCTAAACCCTTGGGTAAATTATAAACACTAAATTTTTATAAATTTATCCAAAGGTTTGTGATTTATCTAAGATTAGACTTTAGAGTTTAATTTTAAAATATTTTTTTTTAAATGATTATTTTCGTTTTCCTTAATTATTATTATTTTTTATTATTTTTTGTATTTTTATATTTAAAACACACAATATAACTTAATAAGATTTTGTTTCCTTTTTAAGAAGATATCAAATATAAAATGATGCAATTCTATTGGATGGTGAACCTAGAGGTTCACCCTAGGGGGTGAACCCAAGAATAAGTCTTAAAACGGCCAATATTTAAAAGTTAATGGTCTTTTTAGCTCAAACATGAGTTGGAGATTTTTTTGGCTTTAATATGAAAGTTGGTGATTTTAATGGCCATTTTCTCCATACACATATAAGGAAAACTTTTAATTTACCTCTTGACCAAGTTAGATCCCCTCACTAAGTTTCGCAAATGACCGAAATTATGGTTTAAACGGAAAACTAATATATGGCATATTTATATTGTTCGAGATATATTATTCAAAAACATTTCACCATGAAGTAAAACGTAATATAAGAAACCATACAAATATCAGTGTATACCAATAATTTTTTTTTTAAGAAAAAAATGAACCAAATAAATGACACAGTATAGATATTATGTTAGTTAACCTTGAAATGAAAAAAAAAACAGACAGACTATTTAAAGAGTGCTATTTCACAACAACAAAAAAGAAGTGCTATCAGATTAAGTATATTAAAAATACTTGTTGAGACAGAAGACAGTACGTATCATCTATATATATACTAGGTAATAACCCGTCCCATGGGCGGGTAAGCACGTTGTTATAAGTAATTGAAAAAAAAATCAAATTCTAATAAACATTTGAAATTTTCAT